TCGGCTGTTTCTTTGCGTCACGCGCAGGCGCGCCGTCAGGTTTCTAAGCCGCGTGAATGAAAGTTAAATGGAAATTTCAACGACTGCTATACTAAGGAAAAATTCGCAGCGTAATTCTAATTTTGAATTGTATTGAATGAGATGAATCATTAATAATATTTTACAGACACAAACACAATTTCAAGTGCAGCTGAATCCAAATAAATTTTTTTCTTTTAATTTAGCTGTCTTAAATTTTGCCGCCCCTTAATTCTGCCGCCCTAGGCTTCAGCCTATGTTGCCTGTACGATAAATCCGCCACTGACCATACATATACGTGTATGGATATGTATAACATGTATGTACATGCTCGCTTGCTCATCAAATCAAGCGGAAATGTATCAATGCTGTCATCACAATTTTATATAGATTCTTGTTGTACGCGTACATTATTCAATCATTTACGCTGTGCTCTTGAATTCATTTCTCCACCCCTTCATTCACTTAGCCAATGCGTATATATGTGTGTATGTATGTAACACGCTCTCCAACATTTCAATTGCAGGCACTCATTCAGTATCCGGACGCTCATTCGGCCCAGCATGCCAAGACCATTTTGGACGGCCAGAACATCTACAACGGCTGTTGCACTCTACGCATCGACAACAGCAAATTGACTGCTTTGAATGTCAAGTACAACAATGACAAATCGCGCGATTTTACAAATCCATCATTGCCACCGGGCGAGCCGGGCGCGGACATAATGCCCACCGCCGGTGGTTTGGTAAATGCAAATGATTTACTTCTGATCGCGGCCCGACAGCGCCCATCCTTAACAGGTGATAAAATAGGTAACACTTTTACTTTTTCCCTTTTCATTTATTATGTTTTTTTGCTTTCTCTTACTTTAGAGCAGCAATTACTCAAAAATTTTGAAAATTTTTCATAGAAATTGCGCTCCTTTGATTTTTTCGTTTTTTCCTCCAATTCGGATTTAAAAGCTATTTGAATTACATATATGTACGTATGTAAATCTATAACTATCTATTTCTTAATTTTTTAACTTTGGATTATGTTTGGTAATTTTAAACGACTAGAGCATCTAAAATTTGACGAACATACATATGTATATATCTTATTCGATTTTTTGGGTAAAACCGTTAATTCTGTTACTCTATTTGCCTTCTAAGAGTCTAAAAGCATAAACAGACGGCAGCTTTGATCCGGTTAAACTCGGGAATTAACTGCAGTTGATCCGGATTAAGACCGAGTTAATCCGGATAAACAATGCCGTCTGTTTAAGCTTTAAGTCTCTCTTTATCTCAGAATAATGCAACAGTTATAACTCAGTTATGAACTATTACATTACCCCAAAAACCAAACCAGCCCACTACTCCCAGAGCTAGGTGAAATAGACAGTGGTAAGGATGAACAGCAGAACTCGGAACTTCGAGACGCGAGACATTGAAGTTTCCTTGATGACAGCATTCCAAATTTTATCTGCTGGTCAATTTTAATCCGACCTGTAGATTGCGCCTATTAAATCTATTGAATTTGGAAGTTATAGTTTATCGATAGGCTTTTGAACTCCTTTATACCTCCTATAAAAAACATAAGATTAGAATTGCTTGAATAAAATTTTAATCGGATTGCCGCGAAGTGCAAGCTTTTGGTAAAAAATAAACACATTTATTTGATCATAACACATTCTCGTACCCCTTCTCACATCCCCAATATTTCGTCCCTTCCCACCCCTCGCCAGGAATTCCGATTTCAATTTGTTTTCCTAAAAAAGTTAAAAATCAAAATTACTACTTTGCAGTGAATGGACTCGGTGCTCCAGGAGTGTTGCCGCCATTCGCACTAGGCATAGGCACGCCACTCGCCGGTGGCTATAACAGCGCCATACCGAATTTAGGCGCCTTTGCGCTGGCCAACAGTGGTGCTCTACAAACAGCAGCGCCTGCTCTGCGCGGCTTCTCCAACGTGCTGCTTGTGTCCAATTTAAACGAAGAGGTAAGTTGCGTACGTTGTGTCAACATCAATAATTTTTCATATTATCGCATAGATTTATCTACACATGATTTATCCGGTTTTACAATATGAAATAAGCAGTGCAAATGCGCCTTTCGCGCTCTGATTTCTTCAAATCGTTTTCTGCTTTATCGCTCTTCTGCCGCAAACCCCAATACAGGCGCTGGGCAGTATTAACGTATTTTTGTCCGACACGCTTTGAGTTATTGGATAGCGAATGAGCGCTGTTCGTAAAGGATTCATGCTGACATTAATTTTGCATATATTAAAATATGTTTATGTTATTTAATTACTTATATTTAATTTTCAAGTATATCCAGTTTTTACTTCACTGTATTTTTTGTTTTCTTTTTTCTGAAATGAATACTTATCATATATACATATGTATGTATGTATATTTTATAACATCCCCATAAACATTCGAACTCCTTTTAAAGTCAGAAAAAATATGAGAATTCTGAGTTCTAACCCTCTTTATGAGCTCAAAAGGAGTCTAAAAAGAGCATATTTCGCCTCTTAGAATGGCACGCTTATAAGAGTCCAAGTTAGGAGTCATAATAGAGTCTGGAATATGATGCTTTTCTGAGTCTTAAAAACAAATATTCTTTATAATTCTGACAATTAGTTAACTTTTAATTCTACCTGAACTTTGTTTCTTTTGTTAAGCTCAGAATTTATCACACCAAAAGAGTCCGAAATGAGTCAGTGAGGTTGACTGATTTCAAAATCATATTTGTAACAAAAGAAAGACTTATATTGAACTCCTAAATTCTGAGCACTCAGAAATTATTTAAAGGGTTCGTTATCATTAATATTTCTCAAATATTCATAATCATAGGGGCATGTCGATGAACCATTTTGTACCATACCCGGAAATTAACTTAATCAGGTATGTTCTGCAAATCGTACTATTTCAAATCGGTGGGATTTACAAAATCTATTGGACGGATTTATATCAGGGAAGAATTTAGCACTTAATCGATGGATACAACGTAAATGATGTGTTTCTAGCCGTTTCAATTTGAAACATTTTATACCTTGATTACAAATATACAAAAATACTTTGCAAATCGCACCGATTTGAAATTGTACGATTTGCAGAACTTGCCGGAAAGACTTAGTATTAGTGTAATGAAACTAATATTTTTAAATGCCCAAATTCGTCATTAAATCCTCTTATATAATGCTCAGAGTTTTTTTAAATCTTTTTTAAAGCAGCCTTTCAATTAGTGAATTTTTCCTGTCATAAATTACAACGTATTGCTTACCGGCTGCCTTAATGATGACAGCGCTAGCCATGCACATACATACATACATACATACATACATATGTGCATATATCATTTTATTAACGGACTTCAAAAAAAGTTGAAGGTTATCAATTCGTCGGATTATTTATTTATTTTTTTCTTTTTTTATGTATGTTACCGCATAACTTTGGACCACTTTAGCCGATTTCTATAATTCTTATTTTAAAGGAAAGGTGGTACCTTAGGGGTGGTCGCATACTAACTCGTTTTTTTTATTTTTTATTAGTTTCCCATAATTTCTGTTTGTTTATTTTGGATTGTTACAATTAATAGTTTTGTTCGTTCATTGTTCTCAAAAAATTAGTAAAGTTTTCACGCTGCATTTCTCATGAAATTTCGGACTACTTTCTAAATTTTCCATTTTTGTTAATTTTTTGTATTACTTAACAAATATCACATATTATCATTTGCTAACCAATATTTCGCTATTGACTTTCCATTTCCAACTTTTCCGCTAGGAAACAAGCAAACAATTTCTTTTTTAATGTTTTTTCGTGATTTTATATGTACATACTAGTATATATAGTATGTACATACTATGTACATATCTGTTTTCTATTACTGAATCTAAGTTATTCATCTCATCAGCGATTTATACAGAAATACAAACGAAAAAGTACTAAAGACAAAAGAAAGGATATGAGATAAAAATATTAATATGTAGATGTCATTTCAATTTCTCTCACAGCAAGGTTAAGAATTATTATGCTATATTTACGCATATACCTAAATATGTATAGTAGAATCTCGGAATAGACTTAGAGCACACCACGAACTAGACTTAAGGAGCGAAAGTTCGAAATGCCCTCACAAAAGACTAGAAACTACCTAAAATCACGGCACGCAAAAAAAACATATTTTCGTACCCGAAACTCAACGTCAAACTACTTTTTCATACATCAATCAAAGAAAGACATCTAAATATGTATGAATTTATCTATTAGATAAAAGCAGTTTGCTTTCATTCTTCCTCTTCTCCCCGCAATTTTCCCAAACTCGCGCGTACTATTTTTCTAGAGCTAGTGGGAAACACAAATTACACTCCCAAAGTGGCTCTCAACAGCCCGAGAACTGACAAAAGATACACAAAATGGGCAGTTTTGAGCACCCGCGGGAGTCCAAAAAATTGCTTTTGTCATAAGTTTTGTGGCTTTTTTCACAGACTAAACGAAGCGTGAACAAAATTTCGGTATGCTTTGCCATTATTCGCAAAGGTAAAAATTTTGGTTATTCAATAATTTTTATGCCTCCGCTGTCGTCGCAGAAGATATTCTCAAACTTATTTCCCAAGACTTTTGAAATCCAAACGAAAGTCATCTTTCCAGCTAAGGTCTGGATTTTTCATTTACTTTTAATAATACCCAGTTTTAGAGGTTTGAATAAGAAAGTCAAGATTAAATTGTAGTTGCCTGTCTGCTACTTGTCAACGCCAAGACCTTCAGCATAAGCGTATTTTTCGCAAACTTCTGGCCCTAAGTTTTAACACACCCTTTTTTATTTACTTATTTAAATAGCTCAAAAAACTATTCCTTGAAAAAAATTTAAAATTAATTAGTTTAGCCAAGGTTTTGCTTATATACTTACCGTAGAAAAAAATTATTTACCCTAAATCCCCATTTTCAGAATTCCGTTAGTAAAAAAATTATTAGTTAACATATATGTATGTATATGTATTAACGCCTTATTGTCTTTTGTGCTGTATTTGAACAATCGCATATATGTATGTACATATATTTTTTTAACTAGTAAATTTCAAGAAACCTGACAAAACATTTAGAAACTCTATTTTTAGTTTTTTTATGATTTACAAAAACTCTCGCTAACTGAAACTCTATTTTCTCTTTTTTCTGTAGATGGTCACGCCTGATGCTCTATTTACCCTCTTTGGTATGTCTGCACAAATATTATTAATTTTTATTATACATAAGTAGTAACCAAATCTAAAAATCGGATAATGAATGTCATCTATTTAATGCATATTTTTTATGTTTCTGTGCGTTTTGTTTACTATTTTTTACTACTACCTTATTTTGACTGACTGCCTTTTTATAACTTTTAAATGTTTTTAGGTAAATCTGTCATTTTTGCTTTGTTTCATTATTTTGTTTTTCAATTTGTGTGCATCATGTTTTGAAGAATATTTTTTTTTTATTTAAGGCTTGTTTATTTGCAATGTTTTTAAAAATATTTTTTAAATCATGTTTCGCGCTTGTCATACGAGTTTTCAGAGGTCGAGTTTACATTTCTATGTTTCAAAGCAAATTAATGCAGAACTGGTTTATAGGATGGAATGCTTTTAAATGCAAAACAAATAGAAAAATTCAAAGCCATCTGAACTTACATAGTTGATGAGTATCATAAGAATACTCATTAATAGAGGATAAAAATATATGCAAACGAACAAGAACTACAACATACATACATATGGGGAAAAATTCGCCAAGTGCTCAGGAAAAAAATTCTATGGCAGCATTTGATTCAAACACCACCACGTTGTTGCTATGGTTACCATGTGTGTTTTTTTTTGTCGAGATATACGAGTATAAACATGCCAATTTCATCCCTTTTTCTTAGAGTCACGACTGATTCTTGACACCTTTTTTGGTTGCAAGCAGAGTGTCCAGATTGTTTAAAAAAAGCGCATTTTCTGAAAAAAATCGCCAAAAATCGTCATTTTTGTTTAAATAAAATTCATGACATAATGGAATTAACTAAAATATTTATATCTAAATATCTCGACAACTTGTAGTCTTATTGAAAAATAATATATGAACATCTAATAACTTTTAATTTGATATATCTTCTCGTTTATAAAATTTAACGCACTCCCTAGTACCAGAAAAAATGGATGTTAAAAATTTGTACAATTGAATCAATTGCGCGGGCTAAATTAATCTTTCCTGGCCAATTACACTGGTTTACAGCAAAAATGTGCAATTGATTCCACTATCCAATTTCTCTGTAGAATTGCTCGGTGATTCCGAAAATCGAGTTAATTTTTTTTTTTGATACTTTTTCGAGATATTTGCTATATTAAAATTTTAAAATCTTTGTGTTTCAACGCAAGTTCTTTACGTGAGGGATGCGGTCATTCCACTACCACAACCTCTACCTACCCAGCAAACATTGAGGTTAGTTATCGATTAGAGAATGATTGGAGAACTAGTCACATTCTCCAATCTCAAACGTTAGTGAACAGCTCGAAAAACTATCGAGATTCATAGCGATCTCAACAAAAATAGGACATAGTTCTCGACTCGAGAAAATATTAATTCTCCAATCGAATTCTAATGTTGATATCTAATGGGATTCGAATGTGAATTTCAAACTGCTGTTTTGCTTTATTAAATAAAACGCTTTATTTGTAAAATTTGTTTGAAATGTATTAAGATAAGATAATAATGAATTATTTTAACTTAAAAATAATTTATGATTCATTCATTTGGAATATTGCTTATTTACATTTATTTGAATTTGCGATGTTTCTCAAATTGTTCTCGAATCGAAGTCGAATGTAGTTCTCTAACTACGTCATCGGCTCGATAACGATTAGAGAACTGCCCTAGCTATCTAATGTAGAAATCCAAATTTCTCTAACGTTAGAGACTATGTTTGCTGGGTATATACTTAGATTTAACTGTCCAAGTTTTATACTTTTACTATCCACAAAGACTATTATTTTGCTAAAGTTAGTGCATTGCAATGAATTCGGGACGATCTAACAGTAAACAAGGTTGGTTGACTCTTTAAACAAACAGTGCTGTAAAATTAATATAAATAACCACTTGAGCACACGAAAGGCACATGCATCCAAAAAAAAATCCATAAATTGTATTCACTACAGCATTTGGCACACAAAGTTTGAATTGATAGTAAAACTGCATGAAAACTACAAATTTTAGTGGCAGCACAGATGAGCATCAAACTACCAGATAAAAACAGCATTGTGAGGAAGTGAATGGAAAACGGATGTTCGTATGTAGTAGCAAGTGATGAACTCCCATTGGACATGAACGGCCAGCTCAGCGGCGAAACAGTTCAAACAGGATGGCTGTGAAATAAATGCAAAATCGAATTGATTGTTAGAGATGTTGAGGTAAATATATCTGAAAATACTGTACTAGTAAATAAATAAACATCCTGAGAATACACGCAAGCCGATTGGGAATAGTGGCAAGCAGCTTTAGCATACGGTGATCAATGTGAAGCTGCCGAACGTAGATACATGGATGTAGTGAGTGCTCGAAAAGACAACGAACAAGATGAACTTGTGCTTAATGGGGAATACTTCACCAGCACAATAGTGGACGAGCGTACTTATGTACTTACATACAATTCATTGCTCTGAATAATATCGAAGAAAACCAGACGAGCCATAAAAAATATATCGAAAAAACGATGCAAGCAAGGGTGTAGAAAAGCGCTAACAGTCAGCATGCACGCCATCCTACCATTCCTGCCATTCAGCCAAGCTGGCGTCAGCGAAACGAGTCAGAACGAGGCGCGTGCGGCCTGCGGCAAGAAGTTCGAGTTGTTTATTTGAAAACAATTTAAATTCGTCTAACGAATTTTATTTAGCAACCACAGAAACAACTTGATACACGACGATAAAAAGCTGCAAACGAGAAAATAAGCGAGCGTTAGAAAAAATCCAACAAAATGGACTTACCCAAGCGGCCATTCAGTTGATTTGGATGCAGAGTAGCAGAGTGGGGAAACTGAGCTCGTTTGGTCGAAGCGACCGAATCCAAATGAATAGCAGCGAGTATGGCAACGGCGCAGGAAGTTGAGGCTGCAACTAACCGTAACGAAGCTTAGCAAATTCTATAAAGTCCTACTCTACTGCCCTTAGGTCCACTGATGAACAAATAGATGCTAAAGAAGCAGAAGCAGAGATGAGAATATTCGTGCTGTTGTGGCCAGAGGCCAGCGGTCTTTAACAAGCCACCAGGTGAAAATGTGTAACGAATTTTCGTGTTTATAGGAAAAGTTTTGCCTTTTGCTTCGACAAGTGAGCGTAACAAAAGTGCGAAAGAATAACAAAAGCGTTAATGCGCTTAATTGTGTGAGTGCTATTACAATTTTGCCCCTTCACACACCATTCCTCACTCTCCTGGCACAACACTTTTGAAAATAATTGCAAGAAAAGCGGAAAACGAAGGGATTGGCAAGATTAGTTTTATTATTTTAAGTATAAAATGAAGTGGAGTGGGACCTGCTAATGGAAGGTTGCTGCAATATAATAAAACCTAACAACACGGAAAAAATTGTAGTAGAAAAAGGACATGCAACAGCACACACAGTCGGAATAATATGTCAAGTCGCAAACCAAGCGACTTTAAAGTGCTTTAATTAATTGAGCGAGTGGGCAGTCATTTTACTTAATTACTTCTTTTCCTATACATCAATTACTGTATCAACATTCAATGCCTAAATTACTTCTTTTATTTGTCTTTAATTACTTACTTTTCAATTATCGCCTGAAAGTTTGCAAGTGAAAATCAAATAAGAACTTGGCAATACTCTGGCAAAAAAGTGAACTGTAAATAACTTGCTAGCTGGACTACACTTTATTTGTTGAGTGTACGAGTATGTGGCCACAACAATCTGGGCCACAAAAGGCCAAAACGAAAAACAGGTGAACTGAAATCAAGCCAACATGAAATTCATCGGAGTTTATTAAATTTCCTTGACTGCTCGATAAACCTCTCCGCCCGCAGAGTCGCTCTTGACGCAGTCATACGTAAAACAATAAAATTTAATTTGCATACCAACGGTCAACAACAAAGCGACTAGGGCGAGCAATAACAATAACGCAGCAGGAATTCACATCCATCAACAATTCCAACAGCAAAATCCACTTCACCTCTTTTTATCATTTCAGTCTGTCTCAGCCCAAGTTCGAGTCCCATTCCGAGCTCGAGTCCGATTTGGAATCTGCCGTTACATACTTTATTTGTTAGTAATTGACTTACATATTTACATGCGCTGCCAGTTAGCTAGCCAGCCGGTCTGTATGCCTTTAGCTTTCTGTTGGCTAGTGAAGTGAACCTCAAACTTTGGTTTGATTTAGCTTTGCATGAGAAACGAAAATAATATAAAGCATTGGATTTTATTTGTCTTACATTGTTTGGTGTTGTTATTGTGTACGAATGTGTAAATTATGAGAATTAGGCGCGCCACAAATGAAGCTAAAGGGGAGTTATTTACATACATATGTATGTATGGATTAAAGGGCTGCATGAATTCATTAAAAACTTCTAGCAAAACAGTAGATTTGTATATTTTACTTCACATACGAAACACGCAGCGTTTGTAATTTCGTAAGTTATGAATATACATAAGGGCGGATCGAAAATATTATTTTTCTGAAATGCCTTGGTAATAGTGAAAATATATTGTATCATGAAGTCAACAACAAGCCTTCAAAATATTAGTATTTTATTTTTATTGTAAGAGCTCGCGCATCGACCGCCAAGTCACCCACAGCACACTTGTCGAATAAGACCAGTTCTTGTTAAAAATTCTGGTTTCAGCAAAAAATTTTGGTGCATATTATTAGATAATGAATCAAAAGATGTAAAGGACAGCATTAATATTGTTGGAGTGAATTTAGGTCGCAGGTTCCAAATATTCTAATCTTTTTTTAATATTAGCTATAGTTTGCGAATTTTTGCAAATTTGGGAACAATTTCGGAAGCTCTTATAGAAAAGCCATTATTTTCCATCATCGTGGAAAAATTTTGTTTATGAAAATGAGTATAAAAACACTGAACTGGCACAACTTCTAGAAACACTTATTAGTTTACTTATGTTTATGCATACAATATAAAAATTGCAAATATAGGAAAATGACCAAAATTGTGTTCAACATTTCTTTTATTTTA